GATCTTGGACTTATCAGCACAGTTAGGGTTAGGGTTTTCAATTGTGTATATGCATGTGAATGAAAAGATCTTGGACTTGTCAGCACAGTTAGGGTAATGGTTTCCAGCTTTGTATATGCGTGTGAATGAAAAGATCTTGGACTTATCAGCACAGTTAGGGTTAGGGTTTTCAATTGTGTATATGCATGTGAATGAAAAGATCTTGGACTTGTCAGCACAGTTAGGGTTATGGTTTCCAGCTTTGTATATGCGTGTGAATGAAAAGATCTTGGACTTATCAGCACAGTTAGGGATTGGTTTCCAGCTTTGTATATGCGTGTGAATGAAAAGATCTTGGACTTGTCAGCACAGTTAGGGATATGGTTTCCAGCTTTGTATATGCGTGTGAATGAAATGATATTAGACGTTTCGATAGGGTATTGTGTTTCCACGTTGGCAGATATGAGTGTAAACAAAATATATTATACTTGTCAACAAAGTAATGGTTTTTGTTTCCCATTGGGTATATGCGTATGAAGTAAAAGATATTAAACTTCTGAACACAGGGTTAGGGTTTTTAGTTGGGTATATGCGTGTGAATTAAAATATATTGGACTTGTCAACACAGCTCTGATTAGAGTTATCTTTTGGTATATGCGTCTGAATGAAAAGATATAAAATTTGTCAATAGATTCGGGATTAGGGTTTCCAGTTGGGTAAATGCATGTGAATGATAAATTAATTGACATGCTCAACACAGTTCAATCATTAAAACAATTCGTCTGATGAATCAACTATTATGGAGTTTATCACTGTCCTGGTCATGTTACATTTTAGTGGGTTTCAGTTTGTGTTTTGTTGCAGTTTTATTGTTTACATAATTGTCAACACTGTTAATTTTAATTCTTTTTAGGTAGAGCATCAGAAGTTCTCTTATCAAAAGTTTACATAAATATCATTAAATAAGTTTTAAGAATGTTTATTTTGTATAAATTAGCCTCATGCATTGAAAACGTTGTGACACAAACAGCTGTGTATGATAAGCAAATGTGTAAATCAAGTATGCATACAGAAATAAATAGTCTCTTTGCTGGTCTTGTTCTGAACACGCCATCACGTTTAAACTAGGCTTTAATTTAATTTACAAAATTTAGCCCGTATTCATGAGAACTCATGGTAACCCCAATACGTTTTGGAATCATTGATTTCCAGCATCATTATAATGAAATGAATTGTTATAATCCATTACCGACAAAAAACTCTCCAACTTCGTTCCGTGTTTCCTGTCCATGTTGTAATATTTTGTCTACAAGAAACTCGCTAACTTCGTTCAGTGAATTTGGTTTACTTTTGTTAGTAAAGGTATAAATAGATTTATCTTGCATGCCACGTTACCTTGATTAGGCTGACATTAAAATCTCCAAAATGTAAATGTAAAAATAAAAAAATACATGCAACATTTTTTGTATTGCTCATGATTTGACAATGACCACATGTTTAGAATTCCAACTATAAACCAGAATTAGAAACAAATTTTCTTCAACAGAAAACGTTTCATTTTTCATTCAGTGGAAATTAAACTATCATTCCCATATCTGTAAAATATGACCACCAAATTTTAGATGATGCCACGGCGAAGATAAAATAATCTGTACAACGGACGGTATACCTGTGCTCAGTTTACATTCACAGAATTTCCTGTGCACACAAGAAAAATTCCACCACATATTGTCCATAATTAACTATTGTAAATCATTTACGAGAGATGAAAATAAAATAGCGCTAGCTGCAGATATTTATTGTTTGAGATAATCTACAAAGGGTCACAATCAACTGAAAAAAAGATGGTCTTGATAAAGATAAGAAAATCAAGAAAACGTAAAATTCAAAACAACCGAAATTAACAGAAATCAGTAAATTCATATCCAGATGGTATACTTTTAGAAATTTGAATGGTGGGAATCACGACTTACCATGATATGTACACACACATCTTTTTTATAAAAACAACTAACATTTAATACAACAATATAGGCAAACTATGGGCTCTGATAGTAATATTTAAACCAAGCATTGTGTACCATAATATTTATTATATCGTAGAACTCCGTCAACAACATGGATAGAGGATGGAGATGACGTATTTACTCATAAAGATGGCCTGATTTTAAGAAGTTAAATGTGAACAAACTTTGGTTGTATCGCATCGAAAGCTTGACTTGCTCAATCGATTACAGAGTTCTTTGACTGCAACACAATTCAGATCTAAATGAAATACTCCTAGAGATTGATGTAGGAGATGTGCCAAAAGAATGCATACACAATAAAAAGAAACATGAAACATACATTGCCAAAATACAATTGCTGTAAGAGATTTGCTAAAAAGGAATAGAGTTTAAGTCCTTCACTATGAACAGTATTTCAAAAAAAAATGTTGCTACGTTCTTTCATTTTAAACAAAATATCAAACAATGCCTCTCAGCATGATACTGAATTTATCATGCAATGTAGAGATTTAAAGAGCTCTCCGGTGGCCTAACTGTTAGAGCGTCCGCCTTAGATGCGGGAGCTAATGTGTTCGATCCACAGCCGAGTCATACAAAAGATTTACAAAAATGGCACTAACAGCTACCTCGCTTGGCGCTCAGTATTAAGAGGCCTGGTGTCAGGACAATGTGACTGGATGGGACATCATATTACATGTCTGCGGCATGATGTCCCAGTGCTAGACATTGTAGCAATATGACTGAAAAATTATTAAAACTACTTTAAAATTCCAAATTAATCACACAGATTTAATTCTTTAAGCTGTATCCCGTTGAATGTTTACTTAAATTTTGTCATAATAAACGAACTGATACAGCTATTAACAGCTTAAAATGTCAATATTGCCACATAAATCAACTACAATGACTGGTTCGGTCGGTTTATTGCATGGAATAAACCCTGGTGAGGCGTACGGATAATAGCGTATTAGGATTAATTTTGATGATGCATGCCGTTAATATATTAGGCTGAATGTTGCATACCGAGTATGGTTTGTTACGATTCTTCTTGATCAAACATACTGATAATAAAAGTGTATGCTAAGTCCTGGTGATGTTCTGGTAAGGTTAGGACAAGTCATTGTAATACATACCGTTAATGTTATGTTACATTAAGTCCTTGCGATACCTACCGTTAATTTATTATGATAAAACCTAAAGATGCATACCGATAATGTTATGTTACAATAAGTCCTTGCGATACATACAGTTAATTTATTATGATAAGACCTACAGATGCATACCGATAATGTTATGTTGCAATAATTTCTTGCGATACATACAGTTAAGATATTAGGATAAGACCTAAAGATGCATACCGATAATGTTATGTTACAATAAACCCTTGCGATACATACAGTTAAGATATTAGGATAAGACCTAAAGATGCATACCGACAATGTTATGTTACAATAAGCCCTTACGATACATAGAGTTAAGATATTAGGATAGACCTAAATATACATACCGATAATGTTATGTTACAATAAACCCTTGCGATACATACAGTTAAGATATTAGGATAAGACCTAAAGATGCATACCGATAATGTTATGTTACAATAAGCCCTTGCGATACATACAGTTAAGATATTAGGATAAGACCTAAAGATGCATACCGATAATGTTATGTTACAATAAACCCTTGCGATACATACAGTTAAGATATTAGGATAAGGCCTAAAGATGCATACCGATAATGTTATGTTACAATAAACCCTTGCGATACATACAGTTAAGATATTAGGATAAGACCTAAAGATGCATACCGATAATGTTATGTTACAATAAGCCCTTACGATACATAGAGTTAAGATATTAGGATAGACCTAAAGATACAGACCGATAATGTTATGTTACAATAAGCCCTTACGATACATAGAGTTAAGATATTAGGATAGACCTAAAGATACATACCGAAACTGATATAATAGGATCTATTAGATTACACCCTGTTGATGCATATGCCTGCTTATAATGATAGTTGATGATAAGACATGGTGATGTATGCCGAGATGTTAGATAAGTCATTGTTATTTTTATCGATATGGGTATGTTAGGATTCGTCTTGGTGATATCTACCGTTAATGGTATGTTATGAAAAGTCCTTGTGATGCATAATTTCAATGTTTATATGTTCAGATACGACCTGGTGAGTCATGCCAATAATGATATGGTATGATACTACGCAGTGATAAATATTGATAATGATATCCAATGAAACTGTGAACATAATGCTTCTATCACAACGTCGTTTTCTTTCATGGGGTGTGTGCTTGTTTTGCTGCACCCTCAACTGTCCATTTTTTAAAGATCGTAATAAATTCAAAACGTTTGATCCAGTTTATAACACCGCAATGAACTTACGAAAGCAACAGCTAAGACAAACCATTTTTAATCAGTAAAAGATACCCCCTTCCCAAACCCACTTCTTAGCGAAGATTTTACCCAAACTGTTAACTGCTCCACAAATGCATTTAATGGTGAAGATCTAAAAAATGGCTATTTCTTTTAATATCACATATTTTATTTTAATATCACAAAATTAACGATAATGCCTTCGTCACTCGCACATCTTCTCCAAACGGAGAGACACCGTTGTACAGTAAAATATGCTGTCAATCTGCTTATGATGGTATAATTAATGATTTTAACTATATCTGTAAATACATTGACATTTGAACCGGATATCCACAATACTTAGAACCTTAATATCCAAGACATATGTTACATTTCGAGCTATAAACTAACTTCTAAACATATGATTGTTGATGACATCATGCTAACTTCCTTATAAATATTGTAACGAAGCTTAGAGAAACATAGGCTTATCTTTCGAAACTGCATAAAAGGGTTAGATTTTAGAGATGAGATGCGTGTGTACAATTGGAGTTGCCGACACAGAGAAATAGTAAATATAATTCATTCGACAAGATCCATGTTATACAAGTTTTCAAAGGTAAATACTTCACTTGCAGACATTTTATTCTTGTACAGAAGTTTCATTGCTTGATCAAATTTAAACGTTTATTGAGAGAGAGAGAGAGAGAGAGAGAGAGAGAGAGAGAGAGAGAGAGAGAGAGAGAGAGAGAGAGAGAGAGAGGGGGTATTTTTACGTGTAAAGACATTTTTAAGGCGTTCTCAAAAAATTCTTCGGTATGAAAAAACCTTCTATATTCTACACTTGGTGAGGACCAAAATGCTTGGTATATGAAGCAAATGGATCATTAAAATACATTTACAGATATAAATAATCCCATCACAAGGCTTGCATTAAACAGACTGTCCTTGGTTTTAAATTAATTTACAATTGTAACGTAGTTTTCATAGCAGAACAATTTTGCCAAAATACCTTCCTCGAGTTACCAGTTTGAAATAATTAGCTGAATTGTACCTTATTCCTAAACGAATTGTGTTAAATAATTGATTAATCTGTTTATCAATAACCAGCTATTAGGCAATTACTATAACGTTGTTGGATGTTAATTCTGTATTCGCATGTAACCTAATACTGGACACATTTTACAGGTTACGTTAAAATATAATCCCGGAAATGAAACAATATTATGACGCTGTGGAAGATAAAGTATGTGATTTGTTCCCAGAATATCATTTTTTTTCTTAAAGGTGGTATTATTCCCTTCTGCATTGCAGAAGCTGAATTAAGCTAGCAAAAGAAAATATACAACTATAGGCGGATTTATTGTCTACATCATCCTTAAAATAAATGTATATAGATTTTAGAAGGGGATTGTAAGCTCTTATATGTTATCAGACCAAAAATGGAGCGGTCACCTAAATATATTTCAGTTATGAACAAAATATTTGTAAAAATATACTTATTTTATCGGTAAACATTTTATAGCATTTAGTAATATATTAACAGATTTAATACTAGAAATAAGTAAATAAAAGAGGTCAGCTGACTTTAAGGAATTGACATACATAAAACTTCTATCTTGGGACAGAAAATAAAATGTATGAACTTTTGAATATGACAGATTACATCCATAAAATTTAATAGCTGAGCACAATGTGTTTATGACCACCACGCCTCACCCACCCCCGAAAATAATTCTGCCGGCGCATCTACACATGCTATCTACCAATTGAAATTTCTTGTGATATCTAATAAACAATGTCCTATGAAATCTAAGAAATGAAATTTGAAATTTTCGGTGATATCTAATAAACGAAATTAACATGCGATGTCTAATAAATGTTATATCTCCTGGAAATCTAACAAATGAAAAACCTTGTGATATCTAACAAATGAAATATAATGTGATAATATAACAAACAAAATATCGTGTGATATGTAGCAAAGGAGTTATCCTCTGCACGAAATATCCGATGAAATCCACGAAATGAAATGTCCTGTGATATCTAGCAACCATATCCTATAATTTATAAAAAAAAAACCCAAAAAAGTCTGTATATGTTTTTCAGGTCCGATTAAATGACAAAAAAGAATGGTGCAACAAAGCCCGCTTTTATTTAAAATTGAAGTTTCATCATTGACAAAATGAAAATTGTTTTTATTATTACAGAAGTTGGTGAATTTGTCAAATCATAGGTGCGTTATTCAGAATGATTCTCACATTATATCTGCTATACGTCTTAAAATAAGTAACAAAAAGTAAGTGGAGCCAATAATTTTAGTAAATTAAAAAAACACATAATATATAACCCCAGGTTACAAAGTGAAGATATAAAAAGAATTTGCAGTACTGTGAATGAAATCCTTAATAAAATCCCTAATAATCGGAAATGTCCTGTCACGAGTGCAAACGCATAGAATGATCCGAATGAATTATATTAGTCTTGAATATGTTGATGTACAAATAGTCTTGACTGTGTTAACATACTATCATGATATAATCCAATATTTGTTTGAATGAGTTCTCAATAACTACACAGTAGTGTTTTTGCCCAAAAGGTCAATGAGCACTTTTACATTCCAATGAATATTTTAAAATCAACAAGTCTTCCCAAATTATATCTGAACACACACACAAAGTCTGATCATAGATTCACAACGACTAATCTAAAACAGGAATTGATAATTTTTTACCTGGTTTTATATATGACTAATTTCTCTTAACCTAAGACACAATACAATTTCTTGAAAGCACAATTTCTAGAGGATTATTTCACCAAATTTTTAAACATTCGCTTTCGAAACAGTCTTAATAATTTAAGAGGAATTTATAGTATTGTGAATTACATCCGTGACCTCAAATTTATGTAAACATTTTGTTTACTTCTTAGAATTATGACAAAAAACAGATAGGTGTTAACCACAACCATCAATCATGAACAACAATTAAGCACACAATTATATATACATGACAAAATATATATTATAGTCTGTGTAGACCATTAAATTCATTTTGCGCTTTTATACATAATGTAGCAACCTGGTTTTATCACAGCAACACTTACCTAGTGAAGGTACCACAGCTACAAATTTAAAATCAATTGTATATATTATGGCTTCCTTCCTTCTTGCGATAATTATATATATATATATATATATATATATATATATAT